GGAAGAGAAAAAAAAAAAAAAGCTCTTCATCCAGACATTTTGTCATTATTGCTCAATGATTTTGTTAAATAATTTATTTTCTTTAATTGCTTTATCCCCACCAGAGTAGTGGGAGTATGGCGCAAGTCCCCGAAACCAGTTGAAACAACCTAGGCAAATGGTCGCCCTGGCACAGTAACATTTGTCGTGTGCAAATAAGCAGACTTGTAAATTGTTTACAGTTTGTATACCAATAAATATAGTGCGTCCCCTCCACCCCACAAAAAAAAAAAAAGAATAGTAGTTGGGAAAATTAAACTTTATTTAATTTTCACAGCAATACAACTCAAACCAGTTACTTGTACTAGAGGCCATATTTTGCCAACAGATAAAGTTTCAGTAACGGTAGGACTTGTATGATGGAAAACAATTTGCAAACAAGATATTATCTCCATTTGCCATACCATCCAACAGTTCATATATCAAGACAAAGTTATTCCGTATAGCATCCTCATCAAAAGCTCCACCAAAATAAGATTTAAATAATGTGACTGCCTGCATGAAAAAAAGATGGACATGTCAAACACATTAAAGGAACACCTAAAGAAGAATCTGAGGCGCATTAACAGATCATTCAGAGCCATAAAACTTCACCTAAAACATATGGTGTAAGACTTTTACAATAACTAGAGCTCTGATTATTTATAACAACTAGAACCAAGAAATAAGTGAATCAACTGAGTTGAACTATAAGGTATCAGAAACTACTTATCTGAAGTTGAACATATTCACTAGTTCCTTGGATCAAAACATAACTTGTGACAGATGAAATCTCGAGAAAAAATTTGCGACATAATTCTAGTTCATAAAGGCGCAATTCAAAATCATCTAAGGTATGAGATACCTCCACAACGAACTTGAATGCACAAGCAACATTCGCATTGCTGCTTACGACAATCACGATGTAAACATTGCTAATTCTCATGTAAAAGAAAGAGCAGCCCCCAATCTGCCGTACAGGACATGTGCCAAGTTCCTTCGTTTGCATTATATGCACTCGAAAAGCATCCACCATGTTACCTCTGCTTTTCCAGATGAGAATGGATCAGAATTTGGTTTTATGTTGCTATGCAGTAAATATTTTCTACTAAACCTAAACATGATAATCAGCAACGTTAAGAAACAAATAAAATAAACAGTAATCTCATTAAAATGGCAGCAGAGACATTCGAATAAATTAGCAGACTTAAGTTCTCGATAGGGGTAGGCATAAGGTTCGAACCGAATTATTCAGTTCGGTTCGATTTCTAAACTAACTAACAATTTTTGGTTTGCTCGGTTGGTTTCCAGTCGACGAACTTAAGAAAGTGGAAAGAAAAGAAAATATTTTGAATACCTTAATTGTACCAACTATCCAAATAAAACAAATCAAAATCTAAAACAAAGTTGATGTCCGTAACTCTATGGTCTAAGCAATCTAGTTCCATAAAACCAAGTGAGTTGTACACCATAAGAACTAAAACGCACTCTTCATCAAGAGCCAAAGACATGCATTACGAAAATAGCAAAAAATACTCCACAAGGGAAGAAAGAGGAAGAATGAAAAATTTCATTACAGAGACTCAAGATTGGAAACCAGTAACACAACTCTAAAAAAAGCAGAACCATAAGATCGGAAACACTTACAATTACTAATTCCAACCGAAAAATTGCAGGTTAATAACCAAACCAAAAATTTGGCTCAGGTTTTGTTTTTGAGCAAATTTTTTTATTTCATTCGGTTTATTCAGGCGAACCAACCTGTGCAGTGGCCACTGTGCACACCTACGTTCTCGTATAAGATCATATGGTCAAAATGTTTGTAAATGAATGAGAAGCTGAAATCTAACTGAGCAGCAACATGCATAAATCAGCATACCGACGTTATGACTCAGAAGCCTCTAACAACCATAATTGTTTAGATTAAAAAATGATAACCAAATTCAACATGCTTGTGTACCATGTGCTGATAAAGAACTTCTGCAAGTGATCAATCAATCTAACATGATGCCATAAGTTCAGCACTATGGTGGACTAATCCGAATTTTGGAATCGTGATGGTCTGGAAATGACAGAAACACCAACAAATGCACATGCAGATTTCTTTTGTACAGGTTGCAAATTGTCATAATTTCTAACACCTGCCCTTGCGTGCAGCGTGCCAAATCAAATGGGCCGGGTCCAAACCCAATATCTGGTCCAAAAAGAAGATATGGGTGCTCTAATACCATGATAAATGGGCTTTGGTAGAACTCATCCCCAAAAAGTAGTCCAAAAATAGAGGATGCCCAGCCCACAGTTATACACAATAATAGCACATAAACTAACCAATGTGGGACAAACATAACTTCTAATAATACTAGCGAGTCTTCTACTAACTTGAAACGTTGATTTTCATCCACGTCCAACAGTAAACACATCTAATTGGCACGCGAATGATACTTGATAGGAGGATAAAGGTTGCAGTGGCCCCATCAGCTGCAGTAAATTGTATATTGAGAATGTACTAAATTATCTTGCAGCTAGTAAATAGCTTCGAATGGTTGATATCTGGGCTACTTATGCTACATGCACATATATAGCTCGGATGCTACTAGAGATCCATAGGTGGTCTATTCTGTAATGAGATGGACTGCAGAGTCTATGGTTTCTAATTCTAACATAAGTGCATTTTTCTAAACCTTGTATGCTCATAAAAATGGCAAGAATAGTAGTGTTCCAGCTGCTCCAATTGGCATGTTCTTAGCCAAAGGCAGCAAAAGCGACCAACCAATTGTCATTTTCCAAAATCAAAATGTAACAAAAAGTTACATAGCTCAATTCCATTCTTACTCTAGCAGCTAAGAAGCCCTTTAACTCCGAACACTGCGACGTATCGATTCACAAAACAATCTGTTTACCAACATATATCAAAGACCCAACCACCACAAGTGAGCTAGCTTTTGTCGCTCTTAACCATGTCCTCCCAGAGAACCGCAAAGAGAAACCAATTATCAAGTGAGACCTCAAAGTCATATCATGCTAGATAAACTTCCTACACACTGAATTCCAAGTGGAACACACAATCGGAAAAAGGAAGAAACAAAGGGGTACTAACCCGACGTCGTCGCGATAGAGGCGATTGATGAGGACATCGCCACGAAGATTGAGGAAGTATATAGCGGAAGCTGCCACGGGCATGGCTACGATCTCGGCGAGCTCCGATCAACTCCACTGAGAAGGAGATCTGATTACCTCGAATCAATTTTTATACGATCGGAGATTGATTTAGAACGAGCTGTTGTTACAGTCCAGGGCAACGTAAAGTCGTGAATGGCCGAGTTTTGATTTTTATTTTTATTTTTTTATTTTTTTTTCTCAGCCAAATCCAGGTTCCGACCGCCCAAATAAAAAGGTTCCGTACATGGTGCGAGTGAGGATTTTATTGAAATGACCGATCAACCCCTATAGATCACATCATTGTTTTCTAACCGAAAAAAAAAATGTAAAAAATCAATTTTAACTATGTGTCCCTTGATACCGATTTCAACTTAATCATTTCTAATTCTAATGTTAAAAAATTAGTGATTTTTTGGTTTTATTCGATTAAGAGTTTAATCAAATTTTAAGTTTGTCTTTATTGTTATAATAATACAGAACGAGAGAGAGAGTTATCATTTATGATGTGCTCTTGCACCTCGAATTGGCCTACATTTGATCCCCAGCTGTTTGATGCTACCAAAGACCTGCAAATACTAGATGTGTTCCCAACGTTAAATCTCTGACGATCAAGTCAGTAGGAGATAGAAGAAAGTTGTATGTAATTGTAAGTAGTATTAGGGTTTGTAGAATGTGATTAAAACTGTTTTGCCTCATTTTACCTATTTATATGGAGTTATTATCTTCCTTTGTGCGCTTTGCTCCTTGTTTGTATTTCATTCATTTCTTTATTCTGGCCCTACACGTGTCTCATATGGGCCACTTTATAACCGCCTCGCTAGTTCGACCCTTAACCCGTAAAAACATTATTATGGGTCGGCCTTCCCTCATGAGGCCCTTTCTTGCTCTTTCTACGATTTGGTTACCATCATCAAGCTGCTCGTGAGACCGACCTTCTAGCCCCCTAGTTGTGGATAAGCCGAGCCAGTTGGATACTTTAATGCTAAGGCCGAGCTGCTTGTAATTCCGAGCTACTTGGACACCTTAGCGTCACAGTCCAGGCTATTCAAAGTCCGAGCTATTGATTCTGCCGACTGCTCACCCACCATCTTTAAGCCAGCAATTATGACGCCTAGCCAGCTGCAAACTTTAGTGCTATTAGCCGAGCAACTTGCAATACCGAGCTACTTGGACATCTTAGCGTTACAGTCTGGGTTACTCAAAGTCCGAGCTATTGACTCCGCCGAACTGTCCCAAACTCCTCATCTTACTTGTCTCCGCCTCGAGAAACCGAGCTACACCTGGCTAGTTTACCGAGCTATTCTCATGTGTTATATCAATTTAAAATAATATCACTGTTTAACAATAATTTAACATCTCAAATTATATTCACTAAAATCACATCTTGAAAGTAATATTCTTGTGTAATTTCTATTATCAAATGTGCGCTTTATTATGGAAGAGGTTTAATTAATTTAATAAAATTTCCTTAATAATGGAAACTAGTATAACACCCGTGTATTACACGGGTGCTTGCTAATTTTTTTCTTAAAATTTAAAATTAATGAGAAAAAGTAGTTTGAAAATTTAAATACCTTTTATAAAAAAATATATAT